GTATGCCACTGCACTCCAGCCTGGGCAACAGAGTGAGACTCCAACTCAAAAAAAAAGAAAGCAGGATTTATTAAGAGGACAGAAAAACTCCCACAGTGAGAGGGGACCCAAGGGGGTTGCCCCACTACTCTTATTTTTTAAGTTTCAAGTCAACCTTAATTTTTAGTTATAGACTATGTTTAAGGAAGCAAAGAGGGAAAATAATGGCCAATTTGTTAATTAAAATCCTGGCCACTCTCTTCCAAATTTGAAGATAATTCTGTTTATTTTACTATTACTACTTTTAAATAGTTATGCTTAGATTTTTAAAATATATGTGAATTTCACAAGTGTGGAGAGCAAAAGGGTTTTAAGTGACAACTTTTGTAATAGAATCTTATCAAAGACCCAGATTCTCACTTCCGCTAATAAGAAATTATTCCAGATAGAGCTATAACCTTGAGATATTTTTCTAAATTCATTAAACAAACATTATGGAGACAGCTCAACAGGAATTTGTTATCTCTGTTTAGGAATATTAATCCAAGTTACAGTTTTAAGTGATGTATATAAGTTTCATTCTTGATTCCAATTCTAAAGAGGACCACAAGTGAATAAATGAGAGATTCATGAAATAAAAGGGAGTAATTATTCTACTCTACTGTATTTTTTCTGTCATTTTTTTCTGTTCTGTTTCTCACTATTTATTTCATTAATCTAAAGGGACACTAAACACTCAGTCCTCTGAAGGTATAGGTTGGTCTCTATTCGTTTTTTTCTAGTACTACTTTGACTACTAATTTCTAAACTGTTCATCAGCAATGACTTATGTATGTATGTATGTATGTATGTATGTATTTTGAGTTGGAGTCTCACTTGCAGCTTCAACCGCCTGGGTTCAGGTGATCCTTCCAAGTAACTGGGACTACAGGTGCGCACCACCACTGATTTATTGTAGAGATGAAGGTCTTGCTATGTTTTCCAGACTGGTCTTGAACTTCTGGGCTCAAGCAATTCTCTCACCTCAACCTCCCAAAATTGTGGGAGTACAGGCATGAGCCACTGTGTCCAGCAATTCCTTTACTTTTTTAACCTCTCATGATTTTTTCCCAAATGTGTGTCCGCAAATATCTTTTAGAAAGTTTCCCAAGATCTCTACTGAGTCTTTCATTGTGCCACTTCTGATTCAATTGTTTGACCAAATTGATGATAGGTTCTTACAGATTACCAGATTAAGCAGTAACTGCGGAGAGGTAATAGATCCATTGGACACAGATAGCTGTATAATTATGCTAATATCTGATGTCGCCAATGTACAGAGGTCACTCTACAAACAACTCAATCCAAAAACAGGCAAAGAACTTAAATAATCATTCCTTCAAAGTGGCCAAGAAACACATGAAAAGATGCTCAAAGCTTAGGGAAATGCAAATCAAAACCACAGTGAAATGCCACTTTATACCTACTAGGATGTCTATTATTAAAAAATAAAATAAGCAAATGTTGGCCAGGATATGGACATATTCCAGCTATGATGCATTGCTGGTGGGAATGTAAAATAGTGTAGCCATTGTGAGAAACAGTAGAGTATTTCTTCAAAAACTTAAATATATATTTAGTATATGATCCAGTATATGATTCCACTTCTACATATATACTTAAAAGAATTAAAAGGAGGAATTCAAACACTTATTTGCACACTAATGTTCTTAGAAGCATTAGCCACAATAGCCAAAAAGGAAACAATCTAAATGCCCATGATAAATGGATAAACAAAACTTGTTATATACATAAATGGAATATGATATAGCCTTAAAAAGGAAATTCTGATACATGCTACAATATGGTAAATGAAATAAGTCAGACACACAAAGACAAATATTATATGATTTCATTGTTATGAGGTACCTAGCGAAGTCAAATTCGTAGAGACACAAAATAGAAGGGTGTTTCTAAGGGCAGAGAAGGGGAATGGGTAGTTATTGTTTAATGGATACGGATTTTCCATTTGGAAAGATGAACAAGTTCTAAGAATAGATGCTTATACAACAATGTGAATGTGCTTAATACCACTGAACTGTACACCTAAAAATGACTAAAATGTTAAGTTTTATGTTATGTGTATTTTCCACAATTAAAACAAAAGAAATGGAATTCCGATACATGCTGCAATATAGATGAACTCTGAAAACATACTAATTAAAATAAGCCTGACATAAAACAATTATTGGACAACTCCATTTATACGAGGTACCTAGAATAGGCAAATGTATAGAGACAGAAAGTAGAATAGAGGTTATTGAAACTGGGCAAGAGGGGAACATAAGTTATTGTTTAATCGGTATGCTTTCTGCTTGGGATGACAAAAAGTTCTGGAGAGTGAATGTACTTCATGTCACTGATTTATACACTTCAAAATAGTAAAAAGAGTAATTGTTATGTATATCTTACCACAAATATGTTAAAAGCTGAATAAGTTCTGGAGATCTAATGTACAGCATGGTGACTACAGTTAATACTATGGGTCAGGCACTGTGGCTCAAGCCTGTAATCCCAGCACTTTGGGAGACTGAGGCAAGTGAATTGCCTGAGCCCATGGACTTGAGACCAGCCTGGGCAACATGGTGAGACCTCATCTCTACAATAAAAAATAAAAATAAAAAATAAAAAATATATATATGTATTAGCTGGGCATGGTAGTGAGCATCTGTAGTTCTGGCTGCTTGGAAGACTGAGGCAGAAGGATTGCTGGAGCCCAGCAGGTTGATGCTAGGGTAGCCATGAGCATGCCACTGCATGCTCGAACCTGGGCAACGGAGTGAGACTCCAACTCAAAAAAAAAAAAATACTAATGTATTGTATACTTGAAATTTGCTAAGAGAAATCTTAAGTCTTCCACCACAAAAAAAAGGGTGGGACATTATGTGAGATGATGGATATATTAATTAGTTTGATGATGGTAATCATTGCACAGTGTATATGTATATTAAATAATTACATTATATATCTTAAATATATGCAATTTTTAATTGTTAATCATACTTCAATAAAACCTTAAAAAAAGCTGAATGATTTTTTAAAAGTCTTTCTAAATGGCAATAGGTAAAGAGAAAAAGGCAGCCCTCTGAATTCTTATCTAGCATTAACAAATAAATTTTATTTTTGCTTTTCAAGTATCATATAATTAAATAGCACATGTCAAATATGAGTGATGCATGTATGTCTTTCTTGTTCAAGGTACGAGATACAACTCAGGAACCTTGTGGACGACTGTCGTTTATGAAGGAGCCCAAATCCACAAGAGGTCTGGTGCATCAAGCTATTTGCAACTTAAATATCACCCTGCCGATTTATACAAAGGTATTGTAAAGTCTGTTGTAGTGCAATCCAGGCAGTGTAGAAATTGATTTTCAATTTTTTTTAATGAATATAAAAAAAAGACACTGCATGCAAGTACATACCACAATCACTTTTGTTTTCCTGTCAAATTTATGATTTTCCATTTAGACAAGGAAAAAAATAGTTCCTCCTTATTTTGCATTAAATGCACTTGGGTGGAAAAAACTCTATTTATATGTATTGGACATAGAGGAGAGAAAATTGAGAATTAACCTTTAGAACTAATTTTTTAAAATAACTGGCTTTGTCTTCCTTATTGTTTTTACGTTCTCTCCTGAGACCATGCTAGCACATTTGGCCCTACCAAAATACTAGTCCGTTAGCTTCTGCTTACTACCAGTCCATAGATGGATTATATATATTATTATTATATATATTTTTTAGTTGAAGTCTCACTCGGTCACCCAAACTGGAGTGCAGTGGCACACTCACAGCCACCACACCCTTGACCTGCTAGGCTCAGGGGATCCTTCCACCTCAACCTTCCAAATACCTGGAACTACAGGTGTTTGCCACCATGCCCATCTAATTTTTTTTTATTTATTGTAGAGACGAGGCCTTGTCAAGTTGTCCAGGCTGGTCTTGAACCTCCACCTCACAGAGTGTTGGGATTACAGGTGTGAACCACCGTGCCCGGCCAAGATTATGTATATTATTAAATTCAGAGCCATCTTATGATATTATCTTTTTGCTAAATAATTACCTGTTAATCTTATAACCTATCATATTAAGGAGTATAAAAAACTAATTTGTCAACTATTTTACCATGATTAGTATAAAAAGATATTCCCATGTTACCAGGAGTAGATTTAAAACAAGATTGGCGAAAAGAAAAAATATTTTAATTCCTAACCCAGAGTCTACCTAGAGGCATGACTTTATTTTCAAACCTTTCCTGTTATATAATTTCTTAAATACTCTAATTAAATCAAAGTAGACAACATAATTAATTAAATATTGTGGAGAAATGTTTTCATTATTTTCCTAAAATTTTTTAAACCAGTATTTCTTTCTAATAGGAAGTTCCCATGTGGCAATCTACAGATGATTGCAGGTGGTTGTCAATGTGCACATGAAAGGTTGGGGGCAGGGGGTGAGTTGTGGCTGCTGAGACCTGGAAGACAAGTAGGGATATATTTTTGTTTTTTGTTTTTGTTTTTGTTGTTGTTGTTGTTAGTCAGGTTCTCACTCTGTCACCTGGAAGCTGGAGTGCAGTGGCATGATCATGGCTCACCGAAGCCTTCACCTCCTGTGCTCAGGCAATCTTTCTGCCTCGTCTGGGGCTACACACGCTACCACTCCTGGCTAACTTTTTTATGTTTTGTAGAGATGAGGTCTCGCTATGTTGTCCAGGATGACATTGAACTCCTAGGCTCAAGTGATCTTCCTGCCTCCCAAAGTGCTGGGATTAAAGGCGTCAGTCACTGCACCCGGCCACAGGGATATATTTCAAGTCCTAAATCTTGTCTCCACAAACCATAGAATTCCCTGTACTTTCTTTTTCCTCACCACAGTTGTCCAGTTGTATATTTGATCAATTGTTCCTGTAAATAGAGATCAGTCACATAGAGAAAAGTTCATGGCATCATGTTTGATATTGTAAATTCTTTTTTTTTTTTTGAGTTGGAATCTCACTCAGTCGCCCACTCCTGGCCACCACAGCCTTGACCTGCTGGGCTCCGCCGATACTTCCGCCTCAGCCTTCCAAGTAGCTGGAACTACAGGCGCACACTACCACACCCAGTCAATTTTTTTGTTTTATTATAGAGATGAGGTCTCGCCAAATTGCCCAGGCAGGTCTTGAACCCCATGATTACAGGCTGAGCCACTGAGCCCGGCTGATATTGTAAATTCTTAAGTGAAAAAAAATGAAATGTCTATGTATATAAATATATGTTGTTCCAAGATTAAAATATAGCAATGGTTAGTTATGTCAACCTAAGTAAGCATAATCTACTGGTACTTAAATGGTGCAGAATGTATTCTGGGGTTTTTAGTGTTGATCAGTAGTCAGTCACTAGTGGCAGAAGACCAAATAAGAAACACAAAGAAATATGTGCTGTCAGCGGGACTCGGTGGCTAAACCTGTAATCCCAGCACTTTGGGAGGCCAAGGTGAGTGGATTGCCTGAGCCCAAGGGTTCGAGACCAGCCCAGGCACCTTGGCAAGTGTGGTAGCACGTGCCTGTAGTTCCAGGTACTTGGAAGGCTGAGGCAGATGGATTGCTGGAGCTCAGCAGGTCAATACTGGGGTGGCCATAAGTATGACACTGCACTCCAGTCTGGGTGACAGAGTGAGACTCCAACTCACAAAAAATAAATAAATAAATAAATAAATATGTGCTATTGTGAGCGAGTCATCTGAATGATATATGCCTGTAATCCCAGCACTTTGGGAGACTGAGGTGAGAGGATTGCCTGAGCCCAGGGGTTCAAGAGCAGCCTGAGCAACTTGGCAAGACCTCGTTTCTACAATAAATTTTAAAAAATAGTTGGGTGTGGTGGCACACACCTATAGATCCAGCTACTTGAAAGGCTGAGGTGGAAGGATCGCCTGAGCCCAGTGGGTCAAGGCTGCGGTGGCTGTGAGTGTGCCACTGCACTCCAGACTAGGCGACAGAGTGAGACTCCAACTCAAAAAAAAAAAAAAATTAAATTAAAATTAAAAAATACATTTTGTGCCGGGCTCGGTGGCTCAGCCTGTAATCCCGCGCCTTTGGGAGGCTGAGGTGAGTGGATTGCCTGAGCCCACGGGTTCGAGACCCGCCTGGGCAGCGAGACCTCATCTCTACAATAAATAAAAAAAAAATCAGCCGGGCGTGGTAGCGCATGCCTGTAATTCCGGCTACTCGGAAGGCTGAGGCGGAAGGATCGCCAGAGCCCAGCAGGCCGAGGCTGCGGTGGCCGGGAGCGGCCACTGCACTCCAGTCTGGGCGACAGAGTGAGACTCCACCTCAAAAAATAAATAAATAAATTTTGTTTCTAACTCCAGACTTATCACACACAGTTATTAATATATGATGGTCCAAGTAACTTTCTATCTGTTAACTCCAAACAAAAAGAAAAAAATGCCAAACATTTTTTATTTAAAAATGCCTTAGAATTTAGTAGCTCTGTATCATAATAAAATCTCTAAATATTGCCTATACATTGAAGGTATTTTCACCATATATGTATTCATGGTTTTTAACATTTTTCAACCAATATCTGTAATGACTCAGATATCATCATCACCATTTCTATTGACAAATATATTAAAAGTCAAACTTTGAGACCACTGTGCTGACCTAACATCTGAAATTAGCACATTTAATAATTTTGGTTTGTTTGCCTCTTGAATTGACAGACTTTTGTATTTAAATTAATCCTCTTTAATTTTTCTGCCTGTCTCCTCAAACTGTTAGGAAAAAAAATAAGACTACGCTGATGTATGCTTGCCTGTTGATGCTCATTGACAAAGTATTTACTCTTTTCTTCTAAATACTCTCTCCTCTCCCTTATCTTTTCCATCTTGCATGGCATCTTGGGGCGGCAAGGAATCAGAATCAGATCAAGAACAGGAGGAAGAGGTAATTTTGTGAAAGTGTCACTTATTAACCACTATTCATTGTTATAACCACTAATAAGAGCACGTAGTTGACCTGTGTTCTTAGAAGGAGTAGGCAGCTGTTCTTGGTAACTAAAGGGTCACAATCTTATTTAACCTCTCTGAGCCTCTGTTTTCTCATCTTGTGGAGATGAGTTAGTTCAGAGAATTGAGTTTCCCTGTAAATTATTACCCTATCTCTATGCAACAATATATTATACTTCTCTATCAACTACTGAAGGCTAAACCATTATTTCAGTGGTTCTCAAACATTAGTCAGAAGTCTTGAGGTTAAAACTCTTTTTATAATAGTTCTAAGACACCATTTTAACTTCTATATCCTCACAAATGACAGGAATTTTCCAGAGTCTATATTACATGTGATACAATTACCACTCTGACCGTTAATGGAATGTATGCTTGTGTATTCTTGGGTTTTAGCATTTTCTCAGCTTTTATTTGTGATACAGTTATCTATTTATACATATCACACATCAACAAAAGTTCTTTGGGCTTTTCAGTAATTTTTAATTGGGTCCTGAGACCAAAGAGTTTGAGAATCACTGAGACCAAAAAAGTTAAGGAGCATATAGTTTATCCATTAGACTACAATGACATTATAGTGCAGAACTCGACTAATAATGAGCATCTCTTCTAGAGTGGGATCTACCAAGTGCTTCACATGCCATCAACACTGATCTCTCATAGTCACCCTATGAAGTGCTTTTATATCATAGATGAAGAAAGCAAGTCTCAGCGAGGTTGCCTTGAATAAACCGCCATTTGAGTTATTACTGCTTCAATATTTAGAGCAAATATGTGTTTGTCTTCCTTATAAAGATCTAAACATGCCCAAATATTATAATAGAAACAAAAACATCATTGGGAAACTTCTACTTACCTATTAGTATATGAGTTCCTATTTCTAAAATGGCCAAATGCATTTGTTATTAGTTACATGTAAATGTTTTCAAATATCTAGTTTTCTTTTTTAAAAATGTTAGTCTCTGGCATTTGAAATAAAAAAATTATATATTTAATACATAGTCTTGTATCCACCAGCTTAAAATGTAAGCCTTTATCAGTTCAGAGACTCCCCCTGAATTCACTTTTTTTCCTGATATCTTGGCAGTGGAGCAGGACAAGAGTGGTGATTATAGACACGCTGTCCTGCTGTATGTTATAGCCATATACACAATCAACTAACGATAGGACTGAAGTCATTCTTTCCCTCAACTGTACAGTCACTCTTTGTCTCACTGACTTAATTTCCTTCCTGCTCAGTGGTCCTGTCACCACAGCTGTTAAAAATGATACCTACATACCTGTTTGAAAGAGCAGAAAACTATGAAACCAACTTTGCCATGTTCACAAATAATTTTTTTTCTATTAGATGATTTTTCTATCAAATTCTTTCAGGAACTATTCAATAGATCCAATTCATGTTCTTTTCAGAATTTGGAATGCTAGCTTGTTATTAATCATAATGAAACTACTTCTGAGAACATATCACCTTGGCATGCTATGTGTCATTCTCTTTTTTCTCCACTAAATTGATACGTATTGTTTAATACTGACTTCACCCTTTCCCTGGCCTCCTAGTAAATATGTATTTCTAACATCAAAACCAGCCTGGGTCATATATTCCCAGGAATAACATATTAGAAAGGACTTTCCATCTATAGTGCTAGAAAAGAGTTTTTTTCTTGTTTGGTTTTTTTTCAAAGTGAGGATGAGAAACATGGAAACTCTCAGGAAAACTTGTAGCAAAATTCTCTGACCCTTCTCTAGCTTACAGTGTCACTGCCATGTGTATAATTATGAATAGGAACTTACTGGGCACACGAGGGGCTATGAGCCAAGACGCTATTTGTAACTATTCAATTTATGTATGTTTTCTTTCAGATCGATATGACATCAGAAAAAAGTAAGATTTTAAATAAAATTGAGTTTGTTTGAAAGCTGGCTACAATAAAAAAGAAGCATGAATTAAAATGCAAGCTAGTTGCCACTACTAACCACTAGAATAATTATATTTTTATATTATTCTTATTAATTATTAATATATATTTATAAAAGCAGCTTGGCCAGTTAAATTTACAAATATATCTAATGTTTGAGCTAATTAGCCGTAAAATGCAATGATTATTCATCTAAGCATTCACTTTCTTTTGACATCCTTGTTAACCCTGGTATTGCTGTTATGCTTGTTTAGAAACCCACCCTACCGTTTTGTCCATTTGTTAGCATAACATTGTCATCTCATTATTTTTTAAGCACTGACATGACAGTATCACTTTTTTTAATATAAAGCAACAGTGACTTCTGTAGAGAGCTCATTTTTGTAGGAGACTCCTACAAAAGTGATACTGTCTCATAGTTCTTAGCTGAAGCTAAATCCCCCCCACACCCCTCATCCCTCCCTCACACTCCTTACTGTGGTAAAGTGTAACTAACGAACATCTTTAGGGTTGAGATGTAACAGACTTTTGTGAAAGCTTTCTGGGGAAAAAAAATTAGGAGCCAAGAATGCAAAAAATTAAAACCTCTTGGATGAAATTATGAATCAAAACAGTATATTATTATAGGGCTAATTTTAAATAATGATGCAAATCCCAAACTTGGTTTAATACAGAAAGAACTGGTTTTTACAGACCTCAAAAGAGCTGTCTTATAACTCACTTCAGGTTTATAATAATGAGTTACCATTTGAGTATATACACACTAAATGGTAACATACTAAATGGTAGCGTATGTGGAAACTCAAGTTGAATTTTACAGAATTCTTATTTTTGTCCCTCAAATAATTTTAGAAAAAATTTTTTTTAATATTTATTGATTTTAATGTTTATTTTGACTTACTGTATTTCAGAGTATATACCCAAAAGGAGAAAAATTAGAGTCATATTTTATGGTCATCATCTGGCCCTATACAGTGATTTGAAGGCTTTTCTTTTTTTTTTTTTTTTTTTTTTAGTCCTATCACATTGTATCTTACTAAGTTATTAGAATGTATTTAAATTAGGCTTGCCCTCACTATAAGTCATTATTCAGGACTAGAATATTTGAAATTATGAATGTTTTCATTGGTTTATCTAACTGAACAAATTCATATTAATATAAATTATTTAAATATATTTATATATATATATCCAATAATATATCTCCTCAACAAATGCAGATTCTTTCAAAAGAAGGCCCTTTTGTTTACATGACATATTATCATTGCCATCATTAATTCCCCTTTTTTTAAATGATTTTATTTTATTCTCTCACTTTCTTCTTTGAGCTACTATATTTACTTAAATGACCCTTTATTTTGTTCCTCAGATATGAGCCAGTAACCATTAAAAACTAATTTGTCCATCTGACTCAATTGTTAAAAAAGAAGAAAAACAGTGTTATTATGTTGCTAAAATACCATGGATTCTCCTGCATGATTCTTAGGTGTCCTGAATGTTTTAAAAGTTCCAAATAAAGACTCACATTTAGTTTTTGTCTTAAAGACAATCGTTAAAAAATCTTCATGCAGGTATAAAATAATTTCAGAAGAAGGGCTCTGTTGAAGGGACTCTTTCCTAAAGTCTTTTTCTGGGTAAATCTTAAGAGTTCCTCTACAACCTATACCTCAAATATACTACATTAAGCATCTTATGCATGGACTTGTAGGGAAATAAATACACTCCACCACAGTAATGTTTTACATATCCGTTCTAATTTCTTGCCATCCTCCTGCCCGTGCGTTTGAGCAAGGCCGCCTCTCCCAGCAGTTTTACTCCACCTTTGCTTTGCATGGAAATAACTTGGCTTACATAAAAACCGTGCGTGTGTCCCGTGTGACTGTCTCTGGTTTGGGTTGCCATGCATCACATTTTAACTTGGAACTCACATATAAGTTTAATCACAGTTGTCGTTTCTGTTGTTTTTCTTTCCTTTATTTCCCTCCTTGGTCTGTCCATTATGTGTCTCAACATAAGGAGGTTGCTCCAAGGAAAGGACCATGCCTCTAGCACCAGACTGTTTGTTTCATTGTTAGGTGTGAATTTCCCTTAGATGAAATGCCGGTTTGCAGCTGATTCAGATCTATTTTATCTAGTCGTTGTATGTGGACAGAACTCAACATACTGAATTCCAGATTTTTATATGATTAAAAAATGTATATGCATCAATAGATGTTATTCTGAGTTTGCTACTACTGGCTTTCTCCTAGAGGAAATCAACTTTCTGCAATTTCTAATGCTTTTTCTTTTTCTTTTTTTTTCCCATGGTTGGTTTTTTTTTTTCAACATTGATATGTAACTTCTGAACAATCTTGAGATATTTCTGTGTAATATCACTGTGTTCTTTTTTTGTTTTGATTTATATTTGTAATGATTTTGTGTGTGTGTCTTGATTATTTGTTAGAGCTTTGTTGGATGTGTGGATGTGCTACAAGTTAGAAAATTAAGCAAGTTATTTCCTGCTCATTTTTCCTTTTCAGTTTTTTTTTTTTTTTTTCTGTTAGCCTTGCTTTGCTCTTGTCCCCTGAGGCCTTGTGGATCCGCCATTCCCAGCCCGTTTTGTTGCCCTTCCCACCACGACAGGAAAAGACGCTATGTCGTTTCAGTCCTGATTACATTTGCCAATATCTTTTTTGATTTCCATTTCACTTTCAATGTTTTTCATTCACATCAAAGATGATGAGACAGAATCTACAGAAACATCTGTCCTGAAAAGTCACCTGGTTAATGAAGTTCCTGTCCTAGCAAGTCCGGACTTGCTCTCTGAAGTTTCTGAGATGAAACAAGATTTGATCAAAATGACCGCCATCTTGACCACAGATGTGTCTGATAAGGCAGGTTCTCTTAAAGTGAAGGAGCTGGTGAAGGCTGCCGAGGAAGAGCCAGGAGAACCTTTTGAGATTGTTGAAAGAGTTAAAGAGGACTTAGAAAAAGTGAATGAAATTCTGAGAAGTGGAACCTGCACAAGAGATGAAGGCAGTGTGCAGAGCTTCCGGTCGGAGAGAGAATTAGTGGAAGAAGAATGGGTAATTGTCAGTGATGAGGAAATAGAAGAGGCTAAGCAAAAAGCACCTTTAGAAGTCACTGAATATCCATGCGTAGAAGTTAGGATAGATAAAGAGACCAAAGTAAAAGTAGAGAGAGATTCAGCTGGGCTCGTGAACTACCTTACTGATGATCTAAATTCCTATGTGCCTCTTCACAAAGAGCAGCCACAGACAGTTCAAGATACGGCAGGGGAGAAATCTAAGACTCGGGCTGTTGGCAGGAGCGCTGGAAATGAAGGGAAAGACCCACCCCGAGATGAGACACAGAGTACACAGAAACAGCAGAAACCAAGCTTGGGAATAAAGAAGCCAGTAAGAAGGAAATTAAAAGAAAAGCAGAAACAAAAAGAGGAAAGTTTACAAACTAGTGCAGAAAAAACTGAACTTAAAAAGGGTAGTTCAGAAGAGTCATTAGATGAAGATGCAGGTTTAGCCCCCGAACCTCTGCCCACTGCAAAGGCCACATCTCCTTTGATAGAAGAGACTCCTATAGGTTCCATAAAGGATAAAGTAAAGGCCCTTCAGAAGCGAGTGGAAGATGAACAGAAAGGTCGAAGCAAGTTGCCCGTCAGAGTCAAAGGCAAAGAGGATGTGCCAAAAAAGACCACGCACAGGACGCATCCAACTGCATCACCCTCTCTGAAGTCAGAGAGGCATGCGCCAGCATCTCCCTCCTCTAAAACAGAAAGACATTCTTCTCTTTCCTCCTCTGCAAAAACTGAAAGGCACCCTCCAGTATCACCATCAAGTAAAACTGAAAAACACTCACCTGTATCACCCTCTGCAAAAGCTGAAAGACATTCACCTGTGTCATCATCAAGTAAAACAGAGAAACACTCACCTGTATCACCCTCGACAAAAGCTGAAAGACACTCCCCTGTGTCATCTGCAAAAGCAGAAAAACACCCACCTGTATCACCTTCAAGCAAAATAGACAAACGTCCACCTGTATCGCCCTCTGGGAGAACAGAGAAACATCCACCAGTATCACCTGGAAGAACAGAAAAGCGCTTGCCTGTTTCACCCTCTGGACGAATGGAAAAGCACCCACCATCAATCACCGGGAAAACCGAGAAGTACCTACCTGTGTCACCTTCTGGCAAAACAGAAAAGCAACCACCTGTATCCCCCACCTCCAAAACGGAAAGAATTGAGGAAACAATGTCTGTTCGAGAGTTGATGAAAGCTTTCCAGTCAGGTCAGGACCCATCCAAACATAAAACTGGACTCTTTGAGCACAAATCAGTGAAACAAAAGCAGCCACAAGAAAAAGGTAAAGGTCGGGTAGAAAAAGAAAAAGGGCCGATACCAGCTCAGAGAGAAATGCAGAAAACAGAGAATCAGACAATCAAAAGAGGCCAGAGAATCCTAGTAACAGGAGTTTCAGAATCCAAAAGAGGAGTCCGTGCTTCCTCCGTAGGGCTTAAGAAGGAAGATGTCGCTGGAGAAAAGGAAAAAATTCTCAGCCCTAAAATACCCAAACCTATTCAGACAGCACCTGAGGAAGGAAGCCATGGAGAGAGCGAGATCCCCAAAGAAAAGATGGCAGATGAACAGGGAGACATGGATCTCCAGATCAGCCCAGACAGGAAAACCTCCACTGACTTTTCCGATGTCATTAAGCAAGAGTTGGAAGACAATGACAAGTACCAACAATTCCGCCTGAGTGAAGAGACAGAAAAGGCACAGCTTCACTTAGACCAAGTACTCACTAGTCCTTTCAACACAACATTTCCACTAGATTACATGAAAGACGAGTTCCTTCCAGCTCTGACTTTGCAGAGTGGTGCTTTAGCTGACAGTTCTGAGAGCCTAAAGCAGGAAGGGGTAGCAGGCTCTCCATGTGGCAGCCTGATGGAGGGGACCCCTCAGATTAGTTCAGAAGAAAGCTATAAGCATGAGGGCCTAGCAGAGACCCCTGAGACAAGCCCAGAAAGCCTTTCTTTCTCACCAAAGAAAAGTGAGGAGCAAATTGGGGAAGCAAAAGAAACCACCAAGTTAGAATCACCAACAGAAACTCATTCAGAAAAAGAACATCCCACAACCAAAGACATTACTGATGGTTCTGAGGCGCAAAGTGCTATTGTCACTGAAGGCTCAGAGCCCTCTATTGAGTGTTTTCAGAGAGAGGCCTCTCTAGACCCTTCCAAAGACACATGCCCCAAACAAGAAGGTGATCGCACTGGCAGCTGTAGTATATCATTAGCAAAAGAAACATCCAAGGCACTGACTGAGGAAGCATCCCGTGATGAAGGTCAGTGTACATTTGGTGGTTCTGTCCAGAAGACACAAACTGATAATGAGACTCGGGAACCCACAACAAGCTCAAATGAGACAAAGACCTCATCACTGCCTGATTCTTCTGTAAAGGCAGATGCAGGAACTGAATCAAAGCCTCAGGGAGTCATTAGAAGTCCCCAAGGGTTAGAGCTTCCACTCCCTAGCCGAGATAGTGAAGTCCTCAGCCCTGTGGCTGATGAATCATTAGCAGTAAGCCACAAAGACTCTCTGGAAGCCAGCCCTGTGCTAGAAGATAACTCTTCACACAAAACCCCTGATTCTCTGGAACCAAGTCCTCTGAAAGAATCCCCTTGCCGTGACTCTCTTGAAAGCAGCCCTGTTGAACCAAAGACAAAGGCTGGAATTCTTCCAAGTCACTTTCCTATACCTGCAGCTCTTGCCAAACCAGAACTCGTGACAGAAGTGGCCTCTATGCGGTCCCGACTACTCAGAGACCCTGATGGCAGTGCTGAGGATGACAGTCTTGAGCAGACATCACTCATGGAAAGCTCAGGGAAGAGCCCCCTTTCTCCTGACACCCCCAGCTCTGAAGAAATTAGCTACGAGGTTACACCCAAAGCCACAGATGCAAGCATGCCAAAACCAGCTGTGATTCATGAATGTGCAGAGGAGGATGATTCAGAAAATGGGGAGAAAAAGAGGTTCACGCCTGAAGAGGAAATGTTTAAAATGGTAACCAAAATAAAAATGTTTGATGAACTTGAACAAGAAGCAAAGCAGAAAAGGGACTACAAAAAAGAACCCAAGCAAGAAGAATCTTCTTCGTCCTCTGACCCAGATGCTGACTGTTCAGCAGACATGGATGGACTGAAACATATGGAGAGTGTGGGAGGTGAAAGCAACGTCCCTGTGTTAGTGACTTCAGAAAGCAGAATGGCTTCTTCCTCTTCAGAAAGTGAACCAGAATTGACGCAACTGAAAAAAGGTGCTGATTCGGGCCTTTTACCAGAACCTGTCATTCGAGTGCAACCTCCTTCTCCTCTTCCATCCAGCATGGACTCCAATTCCAGTCCAGAAGAAATACAGTTTCAGCCTATAGTTTCCAAACAATATACTTTCAAAATGAGTGAAGATACTCAGGAAGAGCCAGGTAAATCAGAAGAAGAAAAAGATAGTGAATCCCATGTAGCTGAAGACAGCCATACTATTTCTACCAATGGTACAGATAGACCTTATGATGAGCTAAACAGAGATACTGATCAGCCAAAAATCTGTGGAGGCCATGGATGTGAGCCCACAAGTCCTAGAATCTCACCCACTCCCATCTCTTCGTGTCGCCAGAGTTCAACTGGTGATGATGTCGATGAACAGCTTGATATCCATAAACAGTCATTCGGTCTCCAGGGCTCTCATGAAAGTGACATAGGAGAGGAGCTTGGTGTTTCTAGAGTAGAGTCTCCACAGGTAGATTACCCCAGTGAAAGCTCTTCATCTTTGTCTTCTCTGCCTCATTGTCTAGTATCTGAAGGAAAAGAATTAGATGAAGACATATCCTCCACATCTGCTGCTACGAAAATGGAAGTCACAAAAACTGATGAAACATTTGAGAATTTACCAAAGGACTGTTCCACTCAAGACTCATCCATAACTACTCAGACAGATAGATTTTCCATGGATGTTCCAGTGTCTGACTTAGCAGAGACTGATGAAATCTATGATCCTCAAATAATTAGTCCTTATGAAAATGTTCCTTCCCAATCATTTTTCTCTAGTGAAGAAAGTAAAACCCAAGCAGATACAAGTCACAGCACAAGTTATCACTCCTCTGAAGTGTATTCTGTTACCATCACATCTTCTGTTGAAGATGTGGCAGTAGCAGACCCCTCTAGTGGAACTGTTTCAAGCAAAGAATCTAATTTTGAAGGCCAGAACATGGAAATAGAATCCAAACAAGAAAGTACCTTGTGGGAAATGCAATCCTCTTCATCTTTAGAGCCTACTATGCCAAATCCACCAGCAATCATTGGAGAACAAGTAAGCAAAGTCATCATCACAAAAACTGATGTAGATTCTGATTCCTGGAGTGAAATTCGTGAAGATGATGAAGCCTTTGAGGCTCGAGTGAAAGAGGAAGAGCAGAAGATATTTGGGTTGATGGTAGACAGACAATCACAGGGTACCACCCCTGATACCACTCCTGCTAGGACCCCAACTGAAGAGGGGACCCCGACGAGTGAGCAAAATCCCTTTCTCTTTCAGGAAGGAAAATTGTTTGAGATGACCCGAAGTGGTGCCATTGATATGACCAAAAGGTCCTATGCAGATGAAAGTTTTCACTTTTTCCAAATTGGTCAAGAGGCCAGGGAAGAGACGTCATCTGAAGACATGAAAGAAGGTGCTGCTGAGGCTGAGCACCTAGAGCCAGAGGCATCAGCAAAGTCACTGGTACTTTCAGAATCAAAAGAAACAGTGGCTGATGAAGCAGACTTACTTCCAGATGACCTCAGTGAGGAAGTAGAGGAAATTCCTGCTCCAGATGCTCAGCTGAACTCCCAAGTGGGGATTTCAACCCCTGCTGAAGCATCAACAAAAGAGGCTGTTAGTGTAGAGACTGAGGACCTCCCCACTACACAAGTGGGTGATACACCTCCTCTGTCTGGTGTGAAGCAGGTGTCTTGCCCTGAATCGCCTGAACCGGTTGTACAAGTTCAGTTAGATTTTTCCACAGTCACCAGGTCTGTATACTCAGATCGGGACGATGATTCTCCTGATTCTTCCCCAGAGGAACAGAAATCCGTGATTGAAATCCCTACTGCACCTATGGAGAATGTGCCTTCTACCGAAAACAAATCCAAAATTTCTGTAAGGACTATACCCACTTCAACCCCAGCACCTCCATCAGCAGAGTATGAGAGTTCACTTTCTGAAGAGTTTCTATCCAATCTGGATGGGGAAAGTAAGGAGGATGAAGCAAAACCAAAGTCCAAAATCCCTGTCAAAGCAACTGGCCAAAGAGTTGAGCAGCAGCTTTCACATCTAGACTCATCTCTCCAGAAGACAGTGGCTCCTCAGGGACAGGATGTGACAAGCAAAGTACCAGATAATAGAAGCAAATCTGAATTTGATGCTAGTTCTTTGGACTCAAAGACCAAATGCCCAGTAAAAACCAGAAGTTACACTGAGACAGAAACAGAGAGCGGAGAGGGGGAAGAGGAGCTTGAGTTAGAATCAGATGAAGGGGTCACAAGACCAAAGATGTTTGCATCCCGGTTGCCAGTTAAGAACAGAAGCACCACATCTTCCTGCAGGGGGGGCATGAGCCCCACAAAAGAGAGTAAGGAGCATTTCTTTGATCTCTACCGAAACTCTATAGAATTCTTTGAGGAGATTAGTGATGAGGCTTCCAAGTTAGTGGATAGACTTACACAGTCAGAAAGGGAGCAGGAATTAGTTTCAGATGATGAAAGTAGTAGTGCCCTGGAAGTTTCAGTAATTGAAAATCTGCCTCCTGTTGAGACCGAGCACTCAGTTCCTGAGGACATCTTTGACACAAGGCCCATTTGGGATGAGTCTATTGAGACTCTGATTGAACGCATCCCTGATGAAAATGGCCATGACCATACTGAAGGTATTTGCTAGCCACTGGGATTCCCTGTGCTACGCATGTCATAAATTTGATATAGTTTTTTTGTATGTTTATTTTATTTGGTGATTTGTGTCTCATTTTCTTTAAGCTTTCTGTAGTGGCTACTGTGTTTGTGTAAGCCCTTTGTGTTTTGTGCTTTCTTCGTATACTCTTGTCTATGAAAACAATCTCAAGATTGAGTAATGAGAATGCTTATGGAAAACAAACATAATAACCAGGCAACAGTGATCTTGCCTTTCTTTAGCTGCTGCACGTGAGGCCATGCGAGCTTTGAGTTTTGTTGTTCTGAAGTCCCAAGCTTAGCCTCAAATTAAGCACTTTGCTTTTGTACATGAATATATTGGATTTTGTTTCATAATAGGACTCATCGCTTTTCTTACCTTTGCATACTTTAAAATAATTTGTGCTTAAAATTTTGTAATCATTAGGAAGTCATTTGCTTAAGAAGATTTCGCTATCATGAAATTCAAATTGTTGTGGATCTGTTTTTGATTCAGAAAGGTTGGAATTCAGATACCATTGGTAAACACTTTAAGCAAACAAACCCAAGGTAAAAATATACTTTTCATTTATGTGATAGATAATTGGAGAGTGTACTCCAATATGATGCAGCAGACAACAAAAACTCAAACTTTGCACGATTTAAGTTGACTATAAGGGGATGATGGCTCTTTGAATTACAAAAGAGGAAACCATAGATGGCTTTGAAAAGTAGCCAGTGGTCTTCCAATATCTCTACAATGAAGACTATTACTTTTAAATTTGGGTTATACAAAATTTCATGATACCATAGTCTAAAATGCTGCCCATCAATCAATGGGAATTAATAAGTGAATGGGAAGATTATAGTTTGTAGGAATGAGTAATCTTTGAGCTCTTTTAGTAGCACACAGGCAGAAACTTTGCCCAAAAGACATATGCAGACTAATACAACGTACACATACAAATGTGTATGCTTTTATCCTCTCTTCTTCAAGGTCACCAGGACCGGGGCAAATGTAGTCTCTGGCCACAGTGAATAAGCCCAGGATGGTCTGATCAACTCATGGTCAAGAGCTCTTATAAACCTCTGTTGTGATTTCTTTCAGACATGACCTGGAATTGAAATATACTTCCACAGGCAATAATAGGAGGTCCTAGCCAATTGCTCCACTTCTGCATACCATTTATGATTTCTCTGGTGTTTCATGAACAAGATGATGGTCTTCTGATGGGCAGTATTCTCTCAGATAGTTTAAAAGGAAAGTCCTAAGATTACTAGAAATCATCAACTTATATAATTATGTCCAGTGCCCAGTCTTGATTAAAGAGATATGGAAGCAAATGGTTTTCATGATTCATATTAGATTTATTTCCCATTCCACCGCAGAAATCAGACAAGTCACAATTTAGTATTATCTAAAATGCAATCACTAATTTGTGCTATCAAGTATTTGGAGAAGTGTCTTTCTTTCTTTGGATGAATCAGTACTGTAGTTCCTCTCCTGTCATAGACAACCTCTGGCCATTCTGTTTTTGACCTTCTGTAGATCCACAGGATGAGCAAGAACGGATTGAGGAAAGGTTGGCCTATATTGCTGATCACCTTGGCTTCAGCTGGACAGGTAAAATGAATGTGACCCACTTTTTTCAACAAAATCTGATATAGATGCATCAGCCAAGTGTCATTACCAAGGAAAAGTTATTTTTGACCCCTTTGCTTGAGTACAAATATGTGGAATAATGAAAAAATAATAATAAACTGTGAGCTAGAAAATCCAGGCTCTTCATTAGCTAACAGTGTAGCCCAGGGCAGGCCTTTTATCATCTTTGAAATTTAGAATAATATAACTTTTGATATGAAAATTTTGGAACTATATCAACTTTTACCACCCTTCTTTGGCGTTTGTGGATATCTGAATTTGAGGGAGATTATTTGTTTCAAAAGCATTGTTAAATGTAATTTTCATAAAATCTAATTTGAGATTTAATCAGGACTCCTTTTAGATGTCCTATGTCAAATATCTTCACAGTAAACAGCACTAAAATTTACTATGAGTGTTAAAACACACATGAATGAGATGTTTCATTAATTTTTTGAGAAATTGAAGTGTAGAAATTATATGTTAAATCATTTAGTAAGGAAAGGTGAATTCTAAAATCTATGTGCTTTATTTACAAATTATGATTTGTAGGTTTTAAAAACTATACACTTTCATCTACCCATGATTTAACATTTTAAAGCAGGATTGTCACTCTGGCTTTCTTTTTAAGTCTGGTTTTCTTGTATATCATTTGTAACTACTACATTGAGACAAACATTAGAAAGTAAAATTTGCCTTTCAATTTTTTATTTGGTGATGAATAGGATCCCATAATACTCTTAAACATGACTGATAATTTAGAATAAATGACTAGAATCAGGAGGAGTAGCTATTTTCTCACTTTTAATAATTTTAAAATAATTTTTACATACTGATCAGACTTATTTAATTAAGGGATTGAGGCAAGGGAATAATGCCAGACTATCTATGGTTGACTTATGGATATGTAACATGCAAAATTTTTTATTTTGTTCCTTAAATACATATGTATCTATACATAACAAAAGTAATATGTGTATATCTGTTGAAAATTTAAACCCTACAATGATATATAATTATATAAAATGAAAAGTAAATATAAATATGTCTCTCATACCTACTTCTGGTTTAGATCCATGCCTCGAAGGTAACTGCTTACACTTTCTCATGAATTTTGAAAAAATATACAATGTCCATCTTTATGCCTGTTATTGAAAAGTAAGCAAAATTTTACTTAATAATATTCCTCATAAATAGTCTATCAGTAGACATACATATCACATTATTTTAAGTGGCTGTTTAATTCCACTATATGGAGGCTCCATGATTTTATCAATAGCTTTTATTGATTAGTTTTTTTCTGTTACAGACAGTAAATATACATCTGCATTGGTATATATTTGTGAGTGTGTCAAGCATATTGCTGAGAAGTAGAAGTACTGGGGAAAAAAAGACATATATATTTTAAATTTTGAAACGTATTGTCAAATTGTCCTCCAAAAAGGTCACCCCATTTATACAATCCCCTACACACACACATGCACTCCATGATGTTATAAGCATTCATATGGAATGTTAATGGTAGAATTTAAAGAAAAACTTTGTGGCTTCTTCCCTAGGTCAATTAATACTTCCTAGATATTTTACTCACATGACATCAAATCAAAGAAAGGAATTTATCCAACCACCATAATATAGTCACAACCAGTATTTATCAATGTACCCAGAAACAGGATTTATAGTACTTAAAACATCACCTTTGATGATTAAAAGAGAGAAATGCTTTTACCTGTTTTTGGTCATTTATTTTCCATTATCTTGGTTAAATGTATAAGAAAATATTAATGATCTCATTTGCATTTTGGAATCAAATGGGCCTGAATTATGCATATTTTTTCACCACTTCCTCAAACTGGGGCAGAGAGGGGCTAAAAACAGTTTAAATTATTCCTTTTTAAAAATCAACCTGCAAGCTTCCAAACCTGCTAGACATGGAATGTGAGAAAACTAAATAGCCACAAGTGGTTTTCCTGGAAATGCAATATAGTAATCAATTCACCTCCTTATCCCCACATCCTCTCTTTGCAAAGTTATCGATTTATAAACCCTGCTTGTCATGTATACCCAGGAGACAACTTGTTCTTTGGGAATCTGGTTTTGCTAGATACCACCTTGCAAATTCCAAAGAAAAATGTATAGCTATACAACCTGACCCCCCTTCCTTACCTAAACTAACACATAAAACCCCGCTCCTCTTTCTCTGGGTTGCTCAGCCTCGGAGCATTAGCCCACTGAGTCACGCCAGCACTAATAAAACACTGCTTCCTAAGATAGCCTCGATGTCATGGTTTCTCTGTTTTCCAGCAACAAAACTATTTTCTTTTCTTTTTTTTTTTTTTTTTTTTTGAGTTGGAGTCTCACTGTGTCGCCCAGACTGGAGTGCAGTGGCCGCTCCCGGCCACCGCAGCCTTGACCTGCTGGGCCGCAGCCTTGACCTGCTGGGCTCCGCCAATCCTTCCGCCTCAGCCTTCCGCCTCAGCCTTCCAAGTAGCTGGAACTACAGGCGCGCGCTACCATGCCCGGTTAATTTTTGATTTATTGTAGAGATGAGGTCTTGCCAAGTTGCCCAGGCGGGTCTCGAACCCGCGGGCTCAGGCAATCCACTCACCTCAGCCTTCCAAAGGCACGGGATTACAGGCTGAGCCACCGAGCCCAAAACTATTTTCACTATGCAGCGATCAATTATATATCCGGTTTTAAGGGAATAATTCTCAATTAGTACTAGAAGAACAAAAGCATATATGAGTCATTTCTAATATATGGAAATAAAACAAAAGAAGCTAAATACTCACCTCAATACAAAGACCATATCATTTACAAAATCACAAAGCAAGGTATAGAGACTCCAACCTTGAAGTTAGTGTGTTTACAAAGTAGTATTTTTATTTCCTAGAATTAGCAAGAGAACTGGATTTCACAGAGGAGCAAATCCATCAAATTCGAATTGAGAATCCCAACTCCCTTCAAGACCAGAGTCATGCACTGCTGAAGTACTGGCTAGAGAGAGATGGAAAACATGCTACGGGTAGGTGGGGAACTAAATGTATATTAGGCTAAAGGTGAAAATGGCTTGCTCAATAACCCATCTTGCAAATTCAATAAAATAACAAATGTTATTAAACTACTGTACAACAGGTCCTCAAATAACATCATTGCATTCAACATCGCTTCCTTATAACACTGATGAGAAAAAAAGAAAACAATTCCACTGTCTGTGTGTAGTTTGCATGTCCATCCCACATCTGTGTGGGTTTTCTCTGAGTTCTCTGGTATGCTCCCACACCCCAAAGATGTGCACGTGAGGTTAGTTGGCATGTCTGCATTGTCCCAGTCTGAGTGGGTGTGGGTATGTGTGAGTGTGCCCTGCCATGGGATGGCATCCTGTCAGGGTGGTTGCTGCCTTGCATCCTGAGCTGCTAGGAGAGGGTCCTGCCACTGAGACCCTGAAGTGCATAAGCAGGTTGGAAAATGAATGAATAAACACTAATTATTATAAAATAAAGTTTTAAGTCTACAATAATCATACTAATGCCAATCATAAACAATGCAGTAGAAAAGCACTCAGTGAGTCTGCCATATTGGTTACTGTTCAGTTTTGAATGTGGTGAGAGGATGCTCTCTCTACAGTTTTCACTTTGCAAACACTTATTCCTTGATTTGCTCCACCAGTTCTATGACCACTGTCACTAATTTTCTTCAAAAATTGGGTAAATAATTATCTTACTTGTTTTTATTAATCTTTCTTAAATGTATGTATAACTCACTTTTATTTCATTGTTTTATATTAGAAGATAATTTGGGGATCTTTACTTAGAAGCTTGGCAGTGTTTTTGTGACCAGAATGCCATAGGAACATAACTTCTGTTTATGTCACCTAACCTATGGTAAAATTGGATTTGTTATGCATCGTTTTGTTTAAAGTCACAGTTTCCAAGCACCTATTGACAATGTTAAGTAAGGATTGACTGAACTACTACAAGCAAATGAGAACAAACTATTGCTATTTCTAAAATATATATGTTGCATCAAAAATCTTGCACTGTGTTTCTCTGAACAGCATTAAATGTGGGAAGTGATTATTAGCCCGGGCTTTAACAGAAATGTTATTGAAGTTCTGATATTTTCCAAATATTGATAAGTGGGCATAATTGCTTCATGTAGCATCATTTTATTGGTAGTGCATTTCCTGAAGTTCCTGCTTCCTTTACTCCTAAATAACATAAGTGGAGAGAAAAAGTCAACTACATATCTTATTTTTAAAATTTATAATTGTTAGTCTTTCCACATTGAAAAACATGGAGAATGATATAGCCCATGGCTTCTCCTCAGCCCTCAGCTGGCGTAAATTTGTCCCTGCATTGTCTCCCTGAAGATCTACCTAGGGAGCCTCTCTTAGATACATTCAGTGTACATACACCATTCCTTCTCTCTGCATTCTTCTAAGTAGCATTGTCAGATTCAGCAAATAAAAATAAAAGGACACCCAGTTAAATTGAAGTTTTAGGTAGTCGACAAATACATTTTTAGTATAAATATGTCCCATACAATATTTTGAAAATATTTATACTAAAAATGTATTTGTTTGTTTATCTGAAATTTAAATATGACTCAGTGTCCTGTATGTTATCTGGCAACTCTACTTTTAGGACTGTGCCCATGCTGTCATCTTTTCTGCGCATATTTTCTTTTGTCGGTTTTTTTTATTTTTACAAAGACTGTTAATTAGGCTTTGGTTGTTTTCTGTACAAATGTCAAAAGTCTGGCCAGCTGCAGTGGCTCATGCCTGTAAGCCCAACACTTTGGGAGGCCCTGGCGAGAGGATTGCCTGAGTTCAGGGGTTCAATACCAGCCTGGGCAACTTGGTGAGACCTCCTCTCACAATAAATTTTTTAAAAAATCTGGGTGTGGTAGCACGCTCCTGTAGTTCCAGCTACTTGGAAGGCTGAGGCGGAAGGATCGCCTGAGCCTAACAGGTCATGGCTGTGGTGGCCATGAGCATGCCACTGCACTCCAGCCTGGGTGACAGAGTGAGACTGCATCTCAAAAAAAAAAAGAAATATCGTAAAGAAACTAAATGAAAGAGATTTTTCTTTTCTTTTTTTTTTGAGTTGGAGTCTCACTCTGTCGCCTAGGCTGGAGGGCAGTGGCATGCTCATGGCCACCACAGCCACAGAGAGCAGGAGATCCTGGTCTCAGGAGATCCTTCCACCTCAGCCTTCCAAGTAGCTGGAACTACAGGCACACACCACCACACCTGGCTAATTTTTTTATTTACTGTAGAGATGAGGTCTCGCCAAGTTGCCCAGGTGGGTCACGAACCCGCGGGCTCAGGCAATCCACTCACCTCAGCCTCCCAAAGGCGCGGGATTACAGGCTGAGCCACCGAGCCCAGCTTGAAAGAGATTTTTCAAAGAATACCTCTCAGATGTAATCAATACTTTTTCTCTAACATCTCAGATACCAACCTCATTGGGTGTCTCACCAAGATCAACCGAATGGATATTGTTCATCTCATGGAGACCAGCACAGAACCTCTCCAGGAGCGCATTAGTCACAGCTATGCAGAAATTGAACAAACCATTACCCTGGATCATAGTGAAGGTTAAACTCTGTGTGTGTGTGTGTGTGTGTGTGTGTGTGTGTGTGTGTGTGTGTGTGTGTGTCTTTGGTGCTAGACCTACTCTCCTTTTCCAGTGTCCTTTCCTCAGTTCCATGATGGCATGTCTTACACTTGCATATGCTACTCTATGTCAGTTCCCCCCCCATTTCTATGCTCACAACTAAGTCTATATCATGACCAATGCAGTACTACTTCCAAGGCCTAACTTGAAGCATTACACTTCTCACAGTGCTAGCTGGTACACTGATGCCAATGGATTCCTAGAATATTTACCTACTGGGGGAAGGAAGGGGCCCACTCTTCAAAAAGAGAATTTTGTTTTTAGGCCAGGCATGGTAGCTCATGCATGTAATCCCAGCACTTTGGGAGGCTGAGGCAAGAGGATTGTCCAGGGGTTCGAGACCAGCATGGGCAACTTGGCAAGACCTCATCTCTACAATAAATCAAAAAATTAGCCAGACATGGGGGCACACACCTGTAGTTCCAAGTGCTTGGAAGGCGGAGGTAGAAGGATCACCTGAGCCCAGTAGGTTGAGGCTGTGGTAGCCGTAAGCATGGCTCTGCACTCCAGCCTAGGCAACAGAGTGAGACTCCCCAGCTCAATTTAAAAATAATAATAATAATAATTGTTTTCTTATTCGGTCTCTCCTCGTGTTTATTCTATGCCTTTATCCTAGCTTACTCTTTTCCTGATATTTATCATATCAGGAAATGTAAGTTCAGTGAGCACAAAAGTTTTTTCTATCTTGTTCACTGCTATGTAGCCAGCATCTGAACAACACCTACTATACAGTTGATACTCAATAAATACCTGTTGAATGGATGAATAAGTTGATGAAGTCAGTCACTCTTCTGCTAAAATCCTTCAATGAGTCCTTGTTGTCTTGGATTTAATGAAACTCCTTAGCCTGGCCTAAGAGACTCTACATAAAAGGATCCTAGCTTCATTGTGTTGCAGTGAGGAGTAAACAAGTTAATACTTCCAAAGCACTTAGAACAGTGCCTGACACAGAGTAAATATTCCGCATGTAGTAGCTATTATTATTAATTATTCTTATCATTAGCTCTCACTCCTTTTACCCCTTAGAGTCTATTGACTATCACAGTCATTTCCTACTTACCATTGTATCTCCTTAAACTGTAACACCCTCTGGGCACGCTGGCTCAAGCCTGTAATCCCAGCACTTTGGGAGACCAAAAGGATTTGTAATTCCAACACTTTGGGAGATGAGAGAATTGTCTGAGTTCAGGGGTTCGAGACCAGCCTGGGCAATTTGGTGAGACCTCATCTTTACAATAAATAAATTTAAAAAATTAGCCAGGCGTGGTGGTTCGCACTTGCAGTTCCGGCTACTTGGAAGTCTGAGGCGGAAGGATTACCAAAGCCCAGCAGGTCAAGGCTGCAATAACTGTGAGCACCCACTGCACTCTAGCCTGGGCGACAGAGTGAGACTCTGACTCAAAAAATAAATAAATAAATAAAAGATGTAACACCCTCTGCATTTCCTTTCCAAATTCTTTAACCCTGTATTGGGTTCTTTTTTTTTTTCGGAGTTGGAGTCTCACTCTGTCGCCCAGACTGGAGTGCAGTGGCCACTCCCGGCCACCGCAGCCTCGACCTGCTGGGCTCCGGTGATCCTTCCGCCTCAGCCTTCCAAGTCGCTGGAACTACAGGTGCATGCTACCACGCCCAGCTAATTTTTTTCATTTATTGTAGAGATGAGGTCTCACCAAGTTGCCCAGGCGGGTCTCGAACCCGCGGGCTCAGGCATTCCACTCACCTCAGCCTCCCAAGGCACGGGATTATGGGCTGAGCCACCGAGCCCGGCTGTGTTGGGTTCTTGAAGGTCCTGAAGGCAGACACATTGTCTTGTTTATCTTTGTAATTTATGGGCCTGTGTCAGGATGTGACACATAGCAGTTACTTGATAAATATCCGTGATATATAAATGACCTTCAATTAAATTGTTCTCCCCTTTAGGGTTCTCAGTACTTCAAGAGGAGTTAAGCATTGCACAACAAAAGCAAAAAGAGGAGCAAGCAGTTTCTAAAGAAACCGAGTCTGGTGATCACCCCCCTATCGTCTCAGAAGAAGACATTTCTGTAGGCTATTCCTCTTTTCAAGATTCCATCCCCAAAATGGAGGGGGACAGCTCAGCATTCTTTCCCCAAACTCACAAGGAGCAAGTTCAACAGGATTTCTCAGGGAAAATGCAAGACCTGGCTGAAGAGTCGTCTCTTGAATATCAGCAGGAATACTTGTGAGTTTCAAAAGAAAGCCTGTGAAATGTAAATTTAAAGAAATGGCCAGTGTGACAATGGTGCCAGGCAATACACAAGTGAAAATAGTTTCTCAATAAATTTAAAATTGCCGGGCCAATAACAAATGCCAGAGCAACCAGGGGAAGAAAAGCTTTAATGTGTAAGAGACATAATTGTGACGGTGTTGTGTGGCCCAGACCTACTCACTCAACTTCCAGTGCTGTGACTTTGGACAGGTCCTTTAGTGTTTTGAGTCTCCAATTCCACATCTATAAATTATGATACTAATGTATACTTTACTAATCTCACAGGGTTGAAGGTCAAAGTGTGTCTGTGAAAGCAGCATCTAAATTGTAAAATTTCCTGTGGATGCCCTGTAATGACATGTAGGGATTACTGCACCTCATTTGATGATGCCAGGTGGAGTGCAGTGCAAAACCTGTGGATTCTTTGACTCATTTCTAAAATGAATTTTAGAGCAGCCAACAAAGTTTCCAAACAAAGTTTTATTAGCAAGAAAAAGGGAAAAAGCAAAAGGAAGATTTATGGCAGAAAGACCTGCCATGGGCATGTTTTTCAAAGAAGAAAAACCGTGCTTTTGCTCTCAATTCCTAACTAGATATAGCTACCTAGTTATTGTTATACAAATAGTAGAGTCTAGGTAACCATGATACCAGAGAGATTGACGTCTCTGGTCTCCTGATGGGAGGAGACAAGGGGAGGGGTCTTATCCAGACGATATTGTTTCTTGCAGAAGACCTGGCAGACATTTCCAATTCACAAGTTCCTAAACTAAAAGATGGTCTTATTATAATTTCAATGGCTTTGGTCAGTTAAGGGGTAGTCTTTGGCCTTCTGCCTTTGACAGGGAACCTGAAAGCTTCTTAGTGATTATTATGATAAACCATGAATTGAAAGGTTGAGCTGCCCTAGTCTTGCATGTGATGAAGTTTTCTTTTGATTTGCCCAGGGAATGGGGAAGGCTGCCAGCTTGGCCTGCAGTAAAATGTAATTTTAAAAATGTCTGAACACTTCCTAAAACCTACCTATTGGAAATGTATCTATCTATGTAACCTGTGCTAGCTACCCTGCCTCAATTTGCTCTTCAGTGCTTCAGATACTGAGCTCATTGTGCCCTGGCTGGTCTGGAGTTTGGGAGTGATGGTATGGGTACCACAGCCCATGGTGCACTGCAACAAACTGCAGTGCCTAACTATACAAGTATAAATGCAACACCAAATTATTCAGACCAAATAAAAGACCAAGAATATGAGGTGGGATCTTCTTGAGAGCTTCTGGCTGAGGGAAGCTGAATGTTTATTCTGGGTCAGGCACTGTTCTAAGTGCTTTGCAAGTATTAACTTGTTTAATGGTCATGCAAGGATTCCAGCTGGTGCCTACAATCCATGCCACCTAAATCCAAACCAACCTGGATGCTTAAAATCAGTTAGGTACTTGGAAGGCTGAGGTGAAAGGATCGCCTAAGCCCAGCAGGTCGAGGCTGCAATGGTCATGAGCGTGCCACTGCACTTCAGCCTGCGTGACAAGAGTGAGACTCCAAGTCAAAAAAAAAATCAGTTAGGGCAGGATTTTCAATCCCTGGCTAGGTAGGCCTATGGCCCTTGTCAGCTTTGAAGAAGTTATAGAGAAAGGACCTTCCTCCCTTTGCACTCCACATGATTATGGGACTGAAAATCTCTACGGGGGGAGATGAGGCAGGCCAGTCAGTGCAAATTAGGCATAGTTAGATAAATTTCTTGCAAGCAGTTTTTGCTTTAAAATAGGGAAATCACTTGATTCGGGAAGAAACAAACTTAGCCAGGCAGTAAAGGTGACAAGGACCCAAAATCAGCAGGATTATAATCACTACAATAGGCCCAATAAAAGGAATAACCCAAGCAAACTCCTCATGTGCAGCAAGTAGAGAAATGAATTTGGGTATACATATTGACAGGGTAGGTGGTACAGTGGCTTCAAGGCCTGCAGTTGCGAGCATAATTTAAATGGTAAACTCCAATTCTTGTGGTTTCATTATAAGTAGCAATGAGATTATAGCAAGGAAAAGGCTGAGTAAACAAACCTCAGAGAAAAATATTCCACTTGTACCAGTCCCATCAACAACTGTGTCTCATTTTTAAAGCCAATATTGCAAGTGGGCTGGTTTTCTAAAGATAACACAAATAAACAGGTCTTTTATAAAAGATACTTCTCTGGAGACAGAAGAAAAACAGATTAGTGTCTGAAATCAACTTTTAGAGTTTCTGATATATCTACAGACTGTCTAAAGGACTGTAGTTCGGACCAGGTACTTAAGTGAACCTTACATCAAATTTGAAAACATTAGTTTGGATACTTGTTTCCAGGAAAGACTTCATGATGCATTTTAAATTGTAGAAAATAATAAAACTTAAAACAATGAACAAGAGAATTTAAAACAGGTGCACTATAATTTCTTTTTTTTTTAAGTTGGAGTCTCATTCTGTTGCCCAGGCTGGAGTGCAGTGGCACACTGCTCATGGCTACCGCATCCTCAACCCGCTGGGATCAGGCGATACTTATGCCTTAGTCTTCCAGGTAGCTGGAACTACAGGCGTGTGCTACTGTTACTATAAATGCTTGGCAGCTTTATAGTTTCTTTTGAAATATAATTTCTTCCTTTAGTCCTCCATTTCTATAAAAGACAAATTATAGTAGGACCAGCTTACTTGCAAAATAAGCTTTAGACTTAATATATTTTATTGCATAAAGTGCACCACGAATAATTATTTGCCATATAGACTCTTTTAAATTGTCTTTATTAGGCCAGGCCTGGTGGCTTAAGCCTATAATCCCAGCACTTTGGGAGGCTGAGGTGGGAAGATTGCCTGAGCCTGCAGGTTCGATACCAGCCTGGGCAACATGGTGAGACCTCGTCTCTACAATAAATCAAAAAATTAGCTGGGCATGGTAGCACATACCTGTAATTCTGGCTACTTGGAAGGCTGAGGCGGAAGGATTACCTGAGCCCAGTAAGTCGAAGCTGCAGTGGTCAGGAGCGTGCCACTGCATTCCAGCCTGGGTGACAGAGTGAGACTCCAACTCAAAAAACAAAAAATTGTTTTTGTTGGAACTCTTTCCATAAGTAATCTCAGATTAGATTAGCCCTTAATCTTAATTCCTTAAAGCAGTTTGTTCTGAAATATCTGAAATATCGCTAGTAAAGCCTTAGTAAAATAACCAGTATTTTCAATTACATCCTGTTACAAGAGAAAGCAGATTTGTATTAATTTATGCAAGCAACCATACTGCCATAAATCAATACTCACAAAGTTTTCAAATTCTGGAGAAATTAGAGAGAAAGAGATATGTTTTAAATTTTGCTTAAAGGAGCATACTTCACTCATTTGTGAAAAGTTTTAAATAGCTTCAAGAAAAAAGTGTTTCTTTTGACTCTGAATACATAATAGTAAAAATAATTAATAGACAAAAAGGTTATAAAATTATTTGGTTTCTGTAAATTTAGTTTCTGCAATTAACTCTGGTTCTGTCTTACATTGGATCAGCAATCCTCATGATCACATAACTTTTTTGTTTTTTGGTTTTTTTATGAGTCGGAGTCTCACTCTGTCACCCGGCTGAAGTGCAGTGGCACACTCCTGGCCACCCGCAGCCTCGACCTGCTGGACTCAGGCGATCCTTCTGCCTCAGCCTTCCAAGTAGCTGGAACTATAGGCACAAACACCTCTCCTGGCTAATTTTTTGATATATTATAGAGACAAGGTCTTACCAAGTTGTCCAGGCTGGTCTCCAAGCCCTGAGCTCAGGCAATCCTCCCACCTCGGCTTCCCAAAGTGCTGGGATTACAGGCTTGATCCACCATGCCCAGCCTGATCACATAGTTTTTTCATAAGAGTCCTGGAAGAAGATCTTAAAGTTGTTAGCAATTGGCACTGAAGAGACTTACCCAAGTCCTATAGCTGATTATAAACTGCTTCTTGAAAGGGACTAATAGTAAAACAATAATTGTGGATGACAGCCTGGGTAAGCCAAGTCTGATAAAGATCTTAGATACCATTTCTAGGTTTTGTAATGGATGCCGTTTATGAAACAATTTTTATGACTGACAGGTACTACCCACTGGCCCGTTATTGAGGCAGTTGAGGAGAAAGGTGTAGGGAGAAATTCGATCCCTAGAAACTGAAGCCACTTTTGGTTTTTCAAATGACTTTTTTTTCTCCTCAAAGCAGTGGTATGTTGATTGAGTCAGCTTTCTCTCTTCCTCGGGAGTGGACAGGAAGGTAATTGGAAGTGAACTTAGAAAGAACGTATTTCTTCATTCCTATTCATAGCTGTAGTTTTTACTTCCTGATCTGATATTAATTCTGTTAGACAATTGATATCACATAATTGGACATATCAACATTATACAATTTTGGAACACAATGACACATGAATTTTACCTTAGGAAAAGTTAAACACTTTCATGTTTGACAGTGTTTCCTGTGTGATTTTAGCATACCAATGGTGTTGTCTACTAGGATTTCAGGAAACCTGAAACACACAAAAAATTTTTTTAAAGGTTAGAAAGACTGAATTGAGAACCTGAAATTTTCATGTTGGAAAGTTTAGTAAATAGTAAAAGTTTTAAAAGCATGTTATCATAACACAGGATTAAAGTCACCACAAAATAGCCATTCATTTAGCCAAAAGGATAATTTAGAAATTCTGAAAAGCAAAGAACTTTATTCTTTGATAGCAGGGATTCGTTTTCTCAGGCAATAAAAAGAAACATAGCAGGGGGCCAAACGAATTTGTCCCTTCTTTCCCCACTTTTTTTTTGTAGCTTACTTTAAAAGTAACAAAAACCTTTTAATAGTCCTTGAAATTATACAAAAATGTTTAAAAGAGAAAAGTGGCCGGCTCGGTGGCTCAGCCTGTAATCCCAACACTTTGAAAGGCCGTAGGGTTCCAGACCAGCCCAGGCAACTTGGCAAGAACTCATCTCTACAGTAAATTTTAA